ATACACCCTACTGAGCACTTTGGGATGAAGGACCTTTGAAGTGGATGATAGGCACTTCCTGTTTCCCGTGATTCTCTGGCGCCGCAACTCCTCCTTAAACAGTAACAATAAAAAGCGAAAATCAACCCGCGGTATTTGAGTATAGCCTGAGCCTCGTAGAAAAAAAGTAAAATACAAATTGGGAACCACCATTGATATTGGAGATGGAAAAGCATGAAAAAGCCCTCTCATTCCCCTTCTTCAAGTGGAATAACACACATAGCAAACAAAAAACGACTGTAAAGTGGGGAAATCGACGTCAGAAGGGAGCACTGCAAAAAGTGACGGATTTTAGCCATCAGTGCAGTTGCAAGTGTTCAGGAACCACTAGAGAGGCACTGATTGCACTGTAGAATATTGGACGAAACTTTGATTCTTGATTCAATACCCAGCCCAGTCTACTTCGACCAGCCGCATGTGCTCGATACCCTGCAACGAACGAAGTGACATCCCAAAGAGTCTTCCAAGGGGGTTCCTCATGTGTTTGGACCTTGCGCGATGGCCAATTCTTTCGATGGAATATGATGTCAAATCAACTATGTGTCCATCACCACACCAACTTTTTCCTGTACGAATGGCCAGCACAAACACAACCCTGGGAATATTCGTCAAATTTCATTAACAATCACCTCAGCTATGACAAAGCTGCAGCTGTCGCACATCCATCGGTGTCATGCTGTTCTGACGCCGAGCTGCGTGACAGGCTCTACTCATCCCATGCCCAAATCGAAGACCAACTCCTCGTCGTCGTCCAAGTTTAGGATCTTTGGCACAAACTCCTAAGGTGTCTTTCAGGGCTTGACAGAACGTGTCTGTTCAAGCAGTCATGAATGCATGAATCACATGGAACCCTCACTTGAGCAGCGGTTGTTGAAGGCATTGATTCATTCTGAGGCCTTGCCTCTTCTCCTTCAGCTCGACCTGCCAGCATCGGCAAGGGCTTGCCGAGACGGCAACTTGGTGCGCCGCGCGCTCTTTGTTTGTTGGGTGATTCGGATGATTTCCGCCCACACGGAACTAAAGTTCCATACGGTGTGACATGCAGGATCGCGAGATCAAGCCTCCTTCGCCTTCAGTAGCAGAAGTTGCCTCCTGCATGGCCAGAAAGGATCGGATGACCAGTTATTGCAGGGCAAAAAAATGCATGGCTTCTCTTGTGAATAGGATTTCAACATCAAACGAAGTATCTTCCGATAGGTCTTTCGTTGGGTGCTGATGATTCGACCTACGAGCAGGAGAACTGCTCAACCGGCGCAACCCCTGGTGAATAGAGCAGAAAGCTTTCATGTAGGGTCGATTTCTGCTGAACCACACCCAAATATGGGCATGCCACAGTATGTATTTGTGGTATTTTTGTTGTGAGACCCTCAATCTCTTGGGTCTTCCTCCTCCATTGCATCACCCTCAGCATCAGCCGAAGTGTCTGCTTCTCCAGATGATCCGTCACCTCATCGGAGCCGGCATGGGAGGGCTGCTGGTGAGTAGCTTGTCTCAGGTTCAAACAACAAATATCGATCTTGGTGAGGCAACATCTGATTGAACTATTGGCAGAACTGTTTTACGTTGTACTGGTGTGACTTGGTTTCTCTCTGGCTGCCTTTGAAAACCTCCCCCCACAACCAAGGAGTTTGTGTCATAGAAAATATGCACTTGTTTTGCAATTATTTTGTAAATCAGTGCATCTTTGTTGGTGAGAGTTGTGGTCGGGCAATTTGGCTCGTAATTGTTCTGTGTGCTGCGGCGCTTCAGCTTCTGGGAGATGGCGCTGTCTGCCTTCAACACTGGCCATGCCCGCATCTAATGACCGCAAGATCAGAGTTCCTCAGGACCCTTGGCTAGATTCATGAAAACACGGACAGCCAAACGAGGGGTGTCAGCAAATTTGCCAAGTGGAGCTTGTCGAAGAAAATGCGCACCAAAAAAAAACACACACATAAAAAACCTATTTGCCTTTCGTTGCCTTTCCATGCTCCGAATGTCTTTTTTGTCTGAGTGAGGGGACTGACATCCATTGGTGGGGGTGCTTGGCTCCTCGGCTTCGCGGAATCTGTTCCGGGTTTAAAGGGAAGGGATACGAAGGGATTATCCTGCGAGCCCCAGTGTGCCACCCGCATCTGTGCTAGACTGCCGCTCGCGCCTCCAGATTCTTTTTTGAGAGCCTGACGCAGCACATTTTGAACAATTTTGACTGAGGGGCAAAGAGGCTGGAATCCCAAAAGGTGGTTGTCCGCCAACGTTGATGCAAGCATCGCGGGTCACATCCGAAGTTGCATGGTTTGCATTGTCAGCAACAAGTTTGGCATGCTTGTATGAGTCTCAAAGTAGTGGCCACTGCATTGAGTCACAGTCGTAGGCCAATATCGTTTTTTCGATTTATTCTCGGGTGTCCTGCAGTCCACAAAACACCAGGACCATCCAGGACCACATGACAATTTCCGGGATGAGGTGGACGACTGCAAAGTGCAAGGCACATGGGTCCGTCAGATCTTTGTCAAGGCTGTTTTGAGACCACCTTCATCGAGGTGGACCCATTACATTCCAAAGCCTGCAAACACAAAAGGGAAGTCATGTACTACCAGGACCACTCGGCCTCTCTACTATCAAACCCACCACTGTGCTATCACATTTCTCGGCCTCCAGGATCGCTTGAGCCTTCTCTAGGAGCTCTGAGTGTTGCTCCCATAGCGCGGCCTGGGCACTGTGCTTTTGAAAGGTGTCCAATCAAAAAGAAACATGTTTTCTGTTGATTCCGACGCAACAAATTATATCTGTAGTTATATAGTTGGGTCAATTATTGAGGGATGGACAAATCGGCCAACCCACCACCCAGAACTGCCTTGACACAACCTGTTCACATGGACCGTTCCAAGAATCTTGATTTATATAGATCAAGATGGCAGTTAGATGATTGATGCACTTTGCTGAACTGGTTTGCTTCTGTCTGCGCTGATTGTCGGGTGATTTCTGTTGATGTTCACAGTACAACACAGAAACCACGTGTCCAAGTTTCGAAGCGGTGGCTTTAAGACATGACACTGATTGGACAAGGTATCATGAACAAACTGAATTTTCCGTCAGTAGATCTCCCTGGAGAATCCCCTGACTCAAACAAATGTGGCAGTGACTTACTGCGACTGTAGCATTCTGGTGGCTTGATCATTTATCAGCATGTCCTTTTCACCACCTGCCAAACTCGAATCTTGGAAGCACCCTCAGTATCATGCGCAAAGAATGTAGGTGTTGCACGGCTAGTTCAACTGTCGGATATGAGCCAGTCGAACCCGAAAGGCACCCACGGGTCCAAGGCATCCAAGTGTGTCTTTAGACCAACGCCACAATCTGACTTTTTGGTAGGATTTTTTTTTTACATTAACACCAAACAACTTTGTAAATGTCCAAGTACCTCTTCCTCTTATAGTCCAACAGGAACCTCATCAAGCAGGACAATGAAAGGTAGCAGCGACTAACAAGGTGCCTTGCGGTTTGGTCCAATTCACATGCGGTTCCTCTTGGTCAGCGAGGCCCTATGAACAAGTAGATGCATTTCTTGGTTTCTTGGGCTGCACAAGCCCGCGCCACCTCCTTCGCTGCCCGCAATGCATCCTCCAAGTCCTGGATGTTGTCAGACTCCACAAACACCCGGCCAACTTCAATAGAGCGAAACATGGGGGAACACAAAGGGATGATTCCAATGAAGAATCTTTTGTAAAATGATTCCAATGGGCAACAAAAAGGTGGGACGACACCTTCACGCATCAAGTACTTTCTGGTGAGCCATCCTGTCTCACACACATGTTCCACTTCTGTTCCACTTCCTGTTCTAGGCCTCGGTTGTCAGACTCTGGAGCGCAGTTGATCGTCATGGCCGCATGGCAGTTACTTTCTAGGTTCCTGTTTTGTCAGATCATCTGCTTGCGGCTTGTGCAACCTTATGTTCATCTATGCACATCTACCTACTGGCCCATTGCATTCTCATTGGAAAACACTTTCGCCCAAGCTGCGCAAGTCAGAATATAACCCTAGTCATTCGTTCTGTGGACGCCATGCCACAAGAGAAGCGTGCGTCAACCCAACATCCGGGTGATCCCCCTTACTACTGCCACCACGTCTCACACACACACACAGGTGCTGGCCGGCTCAAATTTGCAGTCGCTGGAACAACTCTTGTCCATAGCTCATGTTTCCCATGAACAGAATGTGTATGTTTTCATGTCATTCTGCGATAGGCACCAAATTTCAGTTCTTTCTGCGTACAGCAAAGGTCGCTCTTGCCCAGGCCAGTGCCGATGCTCCCTTTGTCCTTGCATGCTTCGGACGTAGACCTCGGCTTGCTCTTCAACAAGCAAACGGCTGAGAGATGCGATAGAGTTGGTGTTGATGGTTTGTTGGCTTGAAGCCTAGATCCCCAACACTTCCCCAAAAGTATCAGTCTCCCAACGGCTGTTTCAACCATGAATCAACCACCTTGGGATGAGGGGCGGGCAAACAAACACATTTTGTAGTTCGATCATCAAGGGCCTTTACCATTGTATAGTAGCACACACACACACACGAGATATTCACGAAACTGCGTTGCCACTGGTTGCATTCTTGGTGTCAGCGCTGGTGGCAACCCAGGTGGTGGAACTGACTACAGTACCGGTTATTGGCATCTTGTGCTTTCGAATGCATTTCACTCCTCATGATAATGCTGTGCAAGGCATTCGGTCGCAAAAAGTAAGGAAGACCATGGAAAACCCGACGCAGCAGTGTGAACCTGAGGCGACGTGCAACCCAAAGTAGGCACTCCATTTCGAGAAGGAAAACTAGTAAAGTAGGCACGGGCTCTCTGCTAGGCAATTGAAGACGCTCAAGTCTGTTGAACATAAGGTGTCGGGAAATCTAAACCTTTTAGCAGTACCTGTAGTGGAAGGAGACTATGTCTATGTTGCAACTGTGTTGCGCGGTTCTCGGACCAACTTTTGAATCGAGGATTCTTTGAAGAGGCAAAAAAAACATGGAAGTGCTCATTCCTGAGCAACACCATGAGGCTGAAAATTGCGAGGATTAGGATGGTTTCCTCTCACTCTGAGCACTTCTGAGCAGGGTGACCAGCGGCTTCAAAGTAGATGTATAAAATTGCAAAACTCACTCTGTAAGATCTACTGTTCGCATCGGGTGCTCTAGCAACTCTCTGTGCATATGGCCTGCAAAGGTCAGCGAGGTCACCATCCACTTCCAGACGTTTGTCGGAACAGGCTCCCGGAAGAGGCTCCTATGAGTGAGGCCAAGTGCCATCCTTAAGTCTCTATGAAGATTTTGGCTGAAAATGAAAGCGGTATTTCAAACCAAGGATCCAACATTTGGAACTGCAAAAAAGCATCTTGCTGCCAATCTTCAGAAAACCAAACAATTCTTGCTGGCGCGCAGGCAGGCTAAATTTCGTTCACGGCTTCGCCGTGGTGTCCGTGAACCTGCAGCAAACCCAGCAATGGAGGCATTCACCAAATAGTGTTAACCTCAGAATGGACAGCTCAAATAGTCAACAACTTCAAAATCAATCCCTCGAAAAAGAACTCACCAGACTTTCCTAATACACGTCCGTTTTTTTGTTCCATAAAATCATATTGATGCAAGACACCCATTGTATAATCTGGTTCATCGTGTCCATGAGATTCAACTGCTCAATCCAACTCTGCCAGGTGCGATCCGTCAATGTCACAACAAGACAATCAAAATATCCAACTCCAGCCTCGGCTTTCGCGAAGGAAAGCAAAACATGTCGTTGCACTTGATCACCATTGGGGAAACATAAATAAGCATAATGCTGGAAAGCGTTTAAAGCTCGGGACCAAGAGCCATGAAACGCGACAGAACCGCAACCATGAAGTCTACCATGACTTTGCCAACAGCAGCATAGACAATGACGTAGCACCATCCATCTCGAGTGATACCCGTAGCGCGGAGCACCTCCACTTCTTTTTCGTAGTTTCTTTTTAACTCTTCTTCTGTTGCTTTCTCTGACAAGATCGTTGTGTACAAGAGACCAGGCCATATTGCTCTATCGAAATTCCCAGGGAGAAAGCCTGTTGAAGCCATAGCATTTGCAAGGGTCATTAAACACAAAGTCTTCTCCCTGTACTTTGTAGAGTAGTAACCTTCTTCCACTACACTCGAGTCACTTGTGGCTGCATCTTGCCCAGGGCAGTGGTACAACATCATTTGGGCCAGCTTGCCATCAGGAGTTTCAATTTCCAATTCTGGTGTCAAGCCTTTCAGCTTCGATTCCCCATCGCAACAGCAACAAAGTCGCCATAGAGCTTGCACTCGCTCCAAACAGCCTGTCACAGGGCAATTTGGCCTCAAAAACAATTGATTGCGCTGTTCGTTCAAGCACTCATTCTTTCTTCCTGAGAGCCCCGATGGACTTGAAAAGCACCTACTCGCACTCGTGAGCGTTACAGTCATATGCGAAGGAGAAGAACAAAACCACACCCGTTTCTTCGGCCGAGGAGAAGCTGTAGGCGGATGTGAGAAGTGTCTGTGTGGGTGACATCACCTGGGTAATACCGTAATACCTTAAACGGTTGTACGAAATGTCCGAGTTAATGCTTTTCACGAGATGTTGGTTGTAGTCGGGCCTACCAAGGTCTCCAGCATGCGCAGTGTAGGGCTGTACAGTACGACAACGATAGGACACCATGTGCATGGTCATCTCCGCGGATGTGGCAGGTTTATTACTCTCTCTATCTGTATTAATTTTCTCGCAAGTCGATATGAATATGCGCCATGGACCATTGAATGAACGACCATACTGCCACTTGCATGGTGTGGCCGAATCCCTGTTCTACTCATTGCATCTCTTCTCTTGGGTGCCCATTCTCGGCCACGTATGGAGAAGTCCGGTTCTTCACGATAGACAAATTGACAAGACCCACAAATATGACCAATCACTTTCTAGCACTTCCAGGCGGAACAAAAACTTGACACACTTGATACGTCCGGGGAGCATATTGGGTTTGAAGGCTTGGCTAAAAAAGGCGGGAAAATGTCACCCAAACGATATATTCCCAAACCTCGCCTGCACGTCATGCTCCAAACCCTCCCTTCCTTCCTTCCCTCCTTCCCTCCCTCCCTCGCTCTCTCCGTCTTTGTGGTCCCAGCCCAATCCTTCCTTTCCTTGCCCTTTCCTTGTTTCCCTTCCCTCCTCATCTTCCAAGATGCCACAGCAAGAATGACACTGCACCACCTGCATCAATTTGCCATCGCATATTATGTCCTCTTTCCCAGTGCAAAAACGACCTTCCAGCCCACCTATATAATTCACCACTGGACTATCCCCCTTCCAATTCGCACTCACACCCGGACTGTCAATTCTTCAGGAACCCCCAGGTTCAGTATCCAGAAGTGGCACTAAAAAAAATAAGAACATTCTCTAAAGAATCAATAGCCAGATTGCATCTGCTAAAGAATTGGAGACTTGAAGGAAAAGCTCAAAAGGCCTAAAGAATTGACGGTCCGAGTTCGAGTCGAACAAAGTCGACTCATGCATGTGTTTCTTGATAGATTATCATAGATTATCAAGTATTATCATCGTTATTGATCTTCAACTTCACTGTGAATCCAAATGCGGTTGGACCAAAAGCTTGCAAACTATTGGAAACTTATATAATCCTGATATGTCCTGATACATCCTGATACCATTTATATCCATTTATAGCTGATCCTGGTATGGTCTCTGCATCTGTGTGTTGAGCCCATGCTGGGATTTGCAAATCTGGCTTTGCAAAGACTATTTTCTCTAAAAAATCCACCCCATTCTCGAGCTAACGCTCGACCACCAAAGTCTCTAATAAATCAACCCCCCTCTTGGCCTTATAGAGAATGGGAACCCCCAGGTTCCAGTTGTAGACTGGCATTGCATATTTTCATCCATTTTTTTTTCAATGACAACCCGGGTTGTCTGATTTTTTAGAGGAAATTCGCACACGGATACTGGACTCCACTTTTGCACTGCTTTCAAGCAACCCTCTACCCCCCTTACTCATTCCATTCGGACTGTCAACTCCAGCTATCGCCGAAAGGTCGCTTATATAAGAAGGAAACACAAGTGACCATCAGAATCATTTGTTGCCACACACGCCAACAGCCACCAGGCCTTCGTTGTTCTGACGAATGATCAGAATTCTCAGCAGCAATTCCACCACAAACAGTCGCATAAGAATCATAAAGATTAGCACAAGGATAATCACCCAGGGATAAAGGATGGCGAAGAGGGGGAGGTACACGGTACCAACACACCATCCGAAAGTCCAGCAACGGACAAGGAGCACCACAATGTAAATTGTAAAGACCCCTTTGCTCGCTGAATGGCAAACAAACCAGAGTCTGTCACACCATGAGACGTCTGACGACTCCTCCTCCTGCTGCTTTGCCCATGGAGGCTTTTCCGTCAGCCCATTGCAATTGGTCATCTCTTGTATCAAAAAGACCAAGCGCTTAGGATCAAGAACAGACGGTGCAAAGCCCCCTTTTCCACCTGTCTCGTCACTGTAGGGCCTTGATTTCAGAGCTTCCAGGGTCAACTCTCCTTGTCCTTCAGCTTCCCTTACGCGTGTCATATACTTGCTCCAGTTTTTTATAAAAGTCTGCGTCGTGGGCTTTTCTGAAGTTGAGATAGTCGTTGTACACCAGCATCAAAACGAACTGATCCACATATCTTCTCCACTGAGAGCTCGTACCAGATTGCAGCATGGAGAACATTAACGTGCGGAGCAGGGTTGACAAGCCGATGTGTCGTGAAAATTCTTTCACAAAAATTTCCTGCACCTCCGCTAGATCCTCGATTGAGGAGTAGATTGTCCTGTACAGGAGGTAGAGAGTAAAAACAAGTTTGAACATTCTTCCGATAAACTGCAGAGCTCCTGTATCGAGTGTCCGGAATGCAGGTGGCCCCATGATCAGCGCAGTTGAAGCTGCTCCAAGAATGCTCGTGATCAAAATCATCCAGTACGGCTGTTTGACAGGAAGCTTCAAGAACTCATCAATCTCTTCCACACGTGGCCCTTTCTGGTACACGTATGTCAGCCCACAAAAAATGAAGGCCAAAGGCAGTGCGAAAGAGCAAAAGTGTCCAAACACTATGATGGTCACATAAACACAACAGCGGCTCTCTCGTGCTTGGCACGCCTCAACAGCTTGTTGGAACGATGTTTGGGTTTGACGGGCACCGCCTATCAAGGACAGAAGGAAATGGGCGAAGCAACTGAATCCTCTTCGACCCGTCTCAGCGAAAGAATTCAATGACCGAAGGGTGGCTACAGGCTTTGTCGACCGAGCCTCTCTGACATCTGTGGCTTCGTCAGAAGTGGCAATGCTAACTCTGCGTTCCCTGACACCATCTGTCAATGTGTGGTTGTTGCTCGTTTTTAGCGCTCCACGTATGTGCTGACCTGAAGATCCAGAAACTGGGCGACAGTTTGCACAAGGTGGACATGGTAGTGGTCCATCTACAATCCGTTTCCTCATGATGTTACTATCATCGTCATGATCATCGTGAGCAAGTGGAGGCATCCAAAAACTGCTGAGCTTGCTCTCACCAGGCACGTGCTCTGACACAAGACTTTGATCATTTTGATCCAACTCTTCTTGCTCTGGGGAATCTTCCTGGACCTCGACTTGATCCAAAGATGCCTGATCACTTCTTGACCCATGATCAGCATTTTTCCTCTTACGTTTCACCTTTCGCCGCCCTCTTTTGATTGTCCCTTTCCTTCCAGCTCTCAAATCTGATCGAGCTGGGGCGATCTGCTCCTCTGAAGCTCCTATTGCTACCCTGTTGCTCTTTTGGGTGATCTCTTGACTTCCGCAGTCTCCTTCATCATGGCATGCTGTTCCGGTCAAGAATTGCATTTGAAAGCTATGGCTTTACCACAGCTTGGGAGGACAGTTTGCGCAACAGGTTCATAGTCAACCTTTTCCATTAGTCATTAGTCCATCAAACTCTGGAATGAGGGAAGGAACCAGTCACAGCGAACATGTGGAGCGCAAAAAGGCAGGCAGTGCTCGACATGTGTCAAGTGGACAGGTACGCGCTGGGCGTCATACGGCGGGTCGTCCTCGAGATCATCCTGCGAAAGGTCCACGTTGAACTCAAGCGGTCCGAAGGCACCAACTGTGGGGGATTCTAAGTGGTGCTGGTGGTATTTCTGATGTCTGGAGTTTTTGTCACTCATGAAAAGGATTTTTTCAATCTTTTAGTGGATTTATCATATCTATTTGCTGGGTTGCTCCCAGTCGATCCAGTTTTGACCATGCTTAAACGTTGATGCCGGCAGTGAACATCCAACGACCATCTCACTTTGTAATTGGTCATTTACCTTTACCTTTAGGAGAATGGGTCTTCAAGCACAGGCACAGTCGATTTAGGAATCTTTTGGGATCATCCCAGCCGGGTTATTACTCCAAGTTTCCGCTGTGTGAATATGACAGGTAGGTCATCCGAAAGAATAGGACGCAGCCTGACATTTGTGACCAGTCAACAAACCCACCGAAACCATTGATTGGCTTTTCCATCGATTGAACCCAGGACCCAGGAATCTCCACAAAGAGCGGCCCAGGAACCAGGAAAAGGTCACATCAGCAGATTGTCTTGCCCGGCCTTAAACCTAATAGCGATGGCCTCCAACCTAAGAGCGATGGCCTCCAACCATCTCCAACCTAATAGCACAGGGACAATGCATAATCTCTCGGTAGAAACTCCGTAAACTAAGTGGCCCAGTGAGTCACAGAGTCACATGCCAACTTGTGGCCGCCCATACAACGCCATTCTAATCCATTGTAGACAATATCTGTTCAGTTTTTTCTGGGAAAAACATGCATGAGATTTCATGATTTCATGAGTTCTAAAGTTTAAAGGAAGTTTCAACCCAATGAATCCAGAATCACTATGAATCACTTTTCGTTTTGTCTAACCACTCTTCGACTTTTCCAGTCTTGCGTCTTCCACCCGTGTCCTCCACAGCTTCAATGGCTTCTCGCAGCGCTGCCTGGTGCAGGTGTCGAGCCGTACATGTGCCTACAATTAGGCTTAGATCCACACTGCAGAACCCACATGGGTTGAGTTGTTTCTCTGCATGGTTCCCAAGCAGCCCAACGTAAACCAAGTCCCTGGCTAGAACAAGAAATCCCAAAGCAAACGTCACACAACAATCCTAGCCATCAAGTCACAGCCCAAATAAAGCCCTGCGTGAACCTTGGTTGATCTCAGAAAACCATCCAGGCCATTCTGCTAAAGCAAGCGCATCTCCTATCCACTTCACCAAGTGCAAAAAAGACCTATCTCAATCGTAGCAACACCTTGTCAAACAAACATCTGCAGCACTAATGAATCTTGACAAAGTTCCCCTTTAGATCTTTTAACTAGACCAATTTGTTCTTTCTCTTTGACTTCCATCTCCCATCCTCTTCCCTCCCATCCTGTCATCCTTCGCCCCATTCACCTCAGCATCCCTCTGTCGCCAGCGTCGCAGCAAGGTCTTGGGACCACTGAGCTGTTCGTCGCTGGCGCCCATCGACTTGGCGGCGGCCACCAGGTCCTGCGGAGGTGGGAGCGGCGGGTGCCGGTGGGTCTTGGTTCGAAACAGTTTCAGTTACCAGAAATGTGTAACTCTGGGGGTGTGATAGAAAGACTTATATAAATGCAGAAAAAGGTCGGAGAAGAGCTGACTAGTTACAAGATTTTTCCAGCAAATGGTCGGTTCCGTTGGGCTTTCCCACTGAAGTGCGAATTTCTCAAGCGTCTTAGGTGGCGCGGCACTCTCAAGATATCTCAAACGCAGCTCGGTCATGATTTCCAACAAATACTAACATTGTTTCATTGTGATTTGAATGGATTGGATGTATTTCTGCAATTCGAACCAGGCAACATGGCCAAAGGCATGAAGACTTGGGCTCTAAACTGTGGGCAAGGTGGTAAACCCAAGATCTGACCCAAATCCAAGATCTGGTTGTTGAACAAAACATGGAATTGGAATAGGTCCAGCTCGCACAGGAAAACAGTCGTTCAGGCCCGTTTACCACAAAACCTATTCCTTCCCAAGAAAGCGAAGGTTCTCCCTTCTCTCCTGCAAGTGTTGTGTGCTCTTCTGGCCATCCTGGCGAGCAACACCTTGCAACTAGCAAGTATAATGGGGCTGTAATACACCTATGCCGCCTATGCCTATATATATATATACATACACTTTATACTACAAAGATCAAGTGAAGTAAACAGCAATGCAATTTTTCTGTTGTAGTGATGAATGAACAGAATAGATGGCTCTAAGACCCGGAGAGGCACCAGCCACCCTTTGGCCTCTTCTTGGTCCGCCTCCTCTTCAAAGCCCTCACAGCAGAAAGGGATTGAGGACCACGGCATCCCGTCAATTTCCACCACGTGGATGAACGCAACTGTAGAGAAAGACAAGCTAGAAATCACAGTGGAGGGCGAGATCCTTCCGCTGTGGCAAGTGTTTTGACAAGGGCAAGCTACTCAGCTACTGAAAAATATCTTACTTTCTTGCAACACCCAATTGATTGAACAGCTAGCAGCAAATGAGCGACCTGCAAATAGGTAGAAAGACGTGAACAACTTGAAGAGATTGGATTGTCCTCCCCTGGGATCGGCTGGTTTGAACCTGGATCTATCTGAAATGAGGGACCCTTCCACACACTGGATCTTCCAGCATTTTCATCTAAGTCTTCAATAATTGCTCTTGAGATATTCCACAAACAAGCATAGCACAACATAGTCACATAGCCTTTACAGGAGGTTTGGAAAATGATGATGGATGTTCTGCTACCGAGTGGTGGCTCTGTGTTAGCTTGTGGCAATGCAAGGCTTGAATCTTTGCATCCAGCATGATCCAGCTCTCCGCTCAATCCTCCTCCAAAGCCCAACAAGTTTGGGATGACGAACCCAACATGTCACTATGGGTCACAGCTACAGCCAGTCATTCCCATGGCCCGAAAGACAAATATCAAATATCCCATAATGTCGATTTTGACTCATCCACATTGGCCAAACTTATATACTTCAGAAGGAAGACAGTCTTTTCTTCTTACTGGCTCTTACAACATCATGTGCATCAGTGGTTGAATTAGGAAGTCCATTTCAGGTGTCCAGGGACGGTCGATTGTCATGCGCTTTTGGTGATTCTAATGACAGTCCTGGTAAAATGTATGCCGGGACCCACAAGGATTATCAATAGACACCCCTAAATCAATCATGAAACTGAGTCTTCTAGTAGGTTGGAGGCCATCGCTATTGGGTTGGAGGCCATTGCTAGAAACAAAAGGAAGAAAGGTCCAATATAGTTGATCCAGCCACTTGGCTGAACCACCACCTTTAGTGCCCGTCTCTGTGCGCGTTGCACGATGCTCTCCTTGATCCACTGCAAGGCCATGTTCAACCGCCTTCGACGCTCCTGGCGAGATCGAAACACAAGGCAAACGGAGCATCTAACTCCATCCGTTTCCATGTTCAGACTCTTTCCGCTCTTTGATGCTTCCAAACCTTCCAAGCATCCCAAAGTCACTGTGGGAACCTCCTTTTCGATTGCTTGAAAAAGGGAGTGAGCAATGAAATCTGTCT